GGATGGATGGATGGATGGATGGATGGATGGATGGATGGATATTGTACATGTCCAGTTGCTGCACAGACATGTTATTTAGAAAAATCTAATCTGTGTCTCTCATTGGTCCATTTTGTTTTGATAAAACCTTTACATGTTCAAATTTTCCACATAAAAATGAAACATCTCACTGAAAATGAACCAGTAGCTTGGTGGATGATTAGATCTGGGCGGTTTTTGGCTTAATCAGCCAATGCAACACTCAAGAACTTTTGTTTGTTTGTTTTTTTGTTTAGTTGGTTGGTTGGTTGGTTGGTTGGTTGGTTGGTTATTTCTTGAAGCACTTTAGCTAAGCAGCTAATTAACATTAGCAACATCATGTCTTTGGTGTGGAAGTTTTCTATTGGCTAAATTCAAAGTTAGCTACATGTAAGGTGTTTAAAATAAAATCCAAAGAAACACCAACTAATTTCTATAAAAGATGTCTGCTGAACCTTTTTCTGCCCAGTATAGTGGAGTATAGGCTGAGGGGTTTCTACCAAGTGCCAGCTGCCACTTACTGTACGTCTGTCCAATAACCTGAGGTTTTAACTGTATATTAAGATTTCTAGTGACAGACATTTTATTTTTTTGCTATTTATTTTAACCTAATTTAAATCATGGACAAGACCTAAAACCTAGTTTCATTCTAATATAACCATTGCAGTGTACAATCTTTGGTTAGGCTTTTTTTAATCAACTGCACATCTAAAATAAACAATAAAAATAGGAATCTCACAAACATGCACATAAAATGTATGCATTAAGAACAGGAGAAAAACAAAAGTATGTGCATGGGATTAAAAAAAACAGACAAATTTAGGATGTATAGTTTAATGTACATGGCGGCTGTGGCTGAGTGGTTAGAGCAGTCGTCCTCCAATGCAACCCTCCAATGTTGGGGGTTGATTCCACCAGCAGTCACATGCTGAAGTGTCCCTGGGCAAGACAATAAACCCCTCATTGCCTTTGATGTGTGTCCCATCGGTGTATGAATGTGATCTAAATCTCTGATTAGTCTCTACAGGTTCAGATTATCCTTGTACAGATCTAGTAAAGTGCAGTTTGAATGGGTAGATGAGGCACAGATTGTAGTGCAAAGAGCTTTGAGTGTCTTGATAAAATAGAAAAGTGCTATACAAGTACAGTCCATTTACCATTTACATGTATGGGAGTTGTCGCACAGAGGTTAGAGAAGGTGGGCCTGTGATCGGAAGGTTGCCGGTTCAACTCTCGGTACAGACAACATAAAAATGTGGGTGGGAAAGGTGAAGCACCTTGCTTCTACCTTCATTCGTCCCACTTTGGGCCCTTGAGCAAGGCCCTTAATCTCACCATCTGCTCCCCCGGGTGCCCTAGATGCAGCTCTCTGCTCCACACAGAGGGCTGTGGTAGCTCGGCGTTCTGTGGTTGTGTCAGGAAGGACATCCGGCGAAAAACAATTGCCAAGTCTTTGTGCGACTTAGTTCGCTGTGGTGAGCCCTGAAGAAGGGAGCAGCCGAAATAAATGTAAAATGTTTACATGTATAGATTTGGTTTTGTTTTAGCCATTGTTTCGCCTGAAAGTTAATAACTCTAATATTATGTAACACTATCCTGATGCGTGCTCAATAATCCAGGTAGAACAATCCAAAACAGTTAAGTCTGGTCCTCTGGATGGCTCCTCAGACTGAAGAAGTCTTTTGAATGAAAGACGAAACGTTTCTACAATTATTTTTTCTTATTGAACCTGTCCAATGGACCTCTGACTTTAATTTTTTTGGATTAGGTAACACTGTTTTACTGTTGACAAACTGTTTCAAATCTAAAGACCTCTAAATGGAAAACAAAATTTATTAAACAATTCAGTTTATTTATATAGTGCCACGTCACAACAGCAGTTGTCTCGGGGCACTTTACAGGAACATTCACATACATTATAAAAGCCAATTAGTAAAAGTTCTCTATCTAAGGAATCCAGCAGATTGTGTTGAATCTTCGTTTCACCACAGTCTCCCATCCTGAGCAAGCACAGTGGCAACAGTGGAAAGGAAAAACTCCCTTTAAAAGGAAGAAACCTCCAGCAGAACCAGGCTCAGGACAAGTGGCCATCTGCTTTGACCGGCTGGTTGAAAAGACAGGAAGGAGAGACAGACGAAACCAGAATGGTGCAGGTGGACCCCTTACTGGAAGAAAGACAAAAACACACGTTAAGATAGAAATAATTACAAATACAAAAGAGGTAGAGTAGAGCAAGTAAAAACAGCAGCAGAGTGAGGAAATGTGGTCAATTTATCCTCCAACAGTCTAAACATGTAGCAGCATAACTAAAGGATTGCTCAGGAAACCAAGCCAACCATAACTATAGGATTTATCAAAAAAGAAAGACTTAATCCCAGTCTTAAAACTGGACAATGTGTCAGCCTCACGAACAGAAACTGGAAGTTGGTTCCACAAGAGAGGAGCCTGATAACTGAAACATCTTCCTCCCCATTCTGCTTTTGGAAACTCTAGGAACTATAAGTAAACCTGCAGTCTGAGAGTAAAGTGTTCTGTTGGGAAAATATGGAATAATAATATCTTTAATATGAGATGGAGCTAGGTTGTTGAGAGCTTTGTAGTTAGAAGTAAGATTTTGAATTCAGTTCTGAATTTGACAGGGAGCCAATGGAGAGAAGCTAAAACTGGAGAAACATGATCTCTCCTTCTAACTCTCATTACAACTCTGGCAGCTGCATTTTGGATCAACTGAATACTTTTTATAGAAGTATTTGGACACCCACAATGTTTTGATCCTCTGGTTTCCAGTGTCTGTTAACAGCTTCCCTGTACATCTGGCTTTTACATTTATTTTACAATCTACCTCTGGAACAGAACCAAGAACACTTTTTATAAACGAAAGTTGCACAAAACTAGCAAAATGTAACTTCTTGCAATTGTTACACTTCACTGGTCTTTAATCTAAATGTTTAAAGCTTGCTTAAGCCTGCCATCTAAGAGCAAAGTGCTCTGCTGAGAAAATATGAAACTAAAAGATATTTAATGTACGATGGAGCTTGGTTGAGAGCTTTGTGAAAAATTTTAACTCCTTCAGGAGAGCGAAGCTAAAAGTGGAGAAATGTATTCTCTCCTCCTAGCTCTCATCAAAACTCAGGAAGCAGCCTTTTGGACCAACCGAAGACTTTTAGAGAGTTTTTGTACATTCTGGTAATAAAAAATTGCTAAAGTCTAGCCTTCAAGTATTATCTTTCACTAAGATTTGAGAGTTCAGGTCCTCCTACAGAAGCTTTCATCTAGTGGAGATTTGATAAATCAAGAGTTATAGCCTCATGAATGCCACTGACGAGTTCAAAAAGAATCACTATTAGCAGATTGGCTGAGCAAAAACCAAATGGTAAAATAAAGTTGACCACTAACATTCTCAAGAGAAAGTCATAATTTTAAAGGTTTAAGAAGCCAGTGCAAAATCACAACGATTAACAAAAATAAAAAACACAAACACTAAGGTTATTTTAATTTTTATTGTTGCAGAGCGAAAAGGGAGAATACCCTCCGTCTGTCCACGTATGCATGTTATGAGCATGATAACTTTAAAAATAGCTGTGGCTCCACTTAGACTTGAGAAAGCTTCCTTTGAAAAATCTGGGTTGCCATGTCAAAAGCCAAAATGGCTGCCACCCTATTTTATATATATATATATGTATGTATGTATGTATGTATGTGTGTGTGTGTGTATGTATGTATGTATGTATGTGAACTTTGTTAGCTGGATAACTAAAAATAAGCAACTGGCCAACTTCCTATTTGGTGTGTCTGCAACTAGGCATAAGGGAGGTCAGTATCAAACATTGGGTTGTCACGTCAAAATCCAAGATGGCAACCACAAAATGTGTACAGTAGTCCCTCGCTACTTTGGGGTTCATTTTGCATGGATTCGCTCTATCACAGTTTTTCAACGTAAGATAGGACATGACACACAATTGGCTGATCGATGGATGAGCCACATGATCAGCATGGAATTTTTATTTAAAATAAATTATTTTAAATTAATTAGCACCTGCTGCACCTGTGTGCAACCCACAAATGTAGAAAAACCCTCTTCCTGTGTGCAGTCAACAGCTGAAGGAGAAACTCCCTGCTGCAGCATGTCAGATCTCCACTCTGCAGCGGAGAAGTGGGCGTGGCCAAGAGTGCTGGCAGGTGGTAGAGAGCAGCCGAGGCTGCAAGCTGAAATCATGACATTCTGTGCTTTTTTAGTGTTTAGAGTTTAGAAACATTGTTAAGAATATTGCAGGAGTGTTTATTTATTTGAAATAAAAATGCCATGCCGATCGTGCGGCTCATCCATCGATCAGCCAATTGTGTGTCAAGTCTAATCTTATTTTGAAAAACCGCGATAGAGCGAGTCGGCGATAAACGAACCACGAAGTAGCGAGGGACTACTGTATATACATACAGTATATATATATGTGTGTGTATATATATATATATATATATATACAGTATATTAAAATAAACTACTACTTACTACTTTTACTACTATTCCTACTTCGTGGTCTTTCACTTGTCGCGGGGCTTCAGGGTACAGATCCCCAGCGATAAACAAGGGACTACTGTAAATCGTTTAACACAATTATTTGAGGAAACTATGCTTTCTAGTTTTTATATTGCTTAAAATTATAGCTTCACCAAATGATTGGAGTGGTCTAAGGTTAATCTGTGGTAGCCAAGGCCACCATTGGCTACCTCCTGGCTCCACCATTGCGCCTGGTCATGGATAAAATTTCTCCCTCTACTCGCCAGGATTCGTCATGCTGTGCCATGTCGGGCAAGCAACAAAACTACCTCTGTTCTCTGTAACTCCTACTCTACCTGCATTCCCTGTTCTATTCCGGTCCAGAGAAACACTCATCTGGAATACTACAAACATTCACTATTCAAATCCTTCGGTAACGGGGACATCGGCGTACCGCTTGTCATTTTATTTGGTTTACCTCTTCCCCAATGAAAGCCCTGCAGACCTGACTGGTCCAGGTTTGTGGAGTATATGGCTAAAGCAGGTGTGTGTGTGATTCTTCCTGCAGTGGTTTGTATCTGCTCAGTCGATCAGAGGGTAAAGTCAACATAAAGCGACTTGTTCCAGTCTCCTTCATCCTAAGCCCCAGCATTCCTCTGTCTTCGTAGCAGCACTCTCCTCTGAACGACAGCGAACGGAGCGCTCACTCATGTTTTTTCAGTCCTGTGTAAATGTTAACCGTATGTCAGGATCGTCCCAGGATTTCATCTGACTCGAACACTTAGGGGACGTTGTGGTCCACCATCTGAAACTTCTATCTTCATCAAGAAAACACTGAAAATGTGGGAGATTTTCTTTTTTTCTGCTTTTTCATGGAAGACTTAAATCTGGAGATGTGTGTGTGTGAGAAAATCAACAAATGTGGTTATCCAGCTCCACATTAAGACGTCGTGTTTTTCTTTCTTCGACTCGTTGAGTTCAAAGAAAGAATGTGTCGAATCAAAGAAAAAAAACTTTTTTTTTTTGTTTATTGATAATACGGGGCTGGATTAGGTATGAACGACATGAAGACTGAAGTTGTTGATGCTGGAAGCAGGGTTCATGGTGCCCAGATGAGCGGTGAATTTGCGGTCACTGGGATTTTCCAGATCTGTTTGCCTGTAAGAATATAAGGTACTGCTGTTAGGCGAGGCTCGGTTCACGAGACCCCATTGTTTCCCCCACCGTCTGCGGTCTGTCTCTGCCTGTTCTCTGCCGCTCTGTCTTTCATTTGAGGCCAAGTCATCCAATGGTCGAATGTGAGGGAGGTCTTTATGCGTTTGCGTCTGCCTGTCTGCACGTATACATGCATGTGAATGTGTTTTTATGTCTGCTTTTAGGGGGCTGGATGTATTTTATTTTTGTTTTTGCTGGTGTAGGATCAAGTGTGGTTCACATATGTGAGTTGAGACAGTGTGGGGCCTTGTGGTTTCCTGCACCCCAACTCTTGATTTTCTCCTCCTCTTATTCATCTTATTATATTCCCTCTTCCATTCCCTGAGCCCTCTAAGTCGCCTCCGTTTTGTTTGTTCAATTTAAGACGTCTGACTGAATATCCTGAGGCCTGCCCGGCTTCAGACGATCTTCCAGTTTCCCTCGTCCGGTTTGACAGGGACCCACTGGGCCTTGGGTTGACTGCATTTCAATAAGGTTCTTGAATGTTCAACGCCAGATTTTTTCAGTTACGTCTTTTAACCAATAAAACTTTTTATTTAATTGTTCTGACCTGGAAAAGACCATTCATGCTTTCGTCAGCTAAAGGGTTGACTTCTGTAATGCTGTGTATGTAGGAATCTCCCAGTCCTCCATCAGACGCCTTCAGCTTGTACAAAACGCTGCGGACCGTCTTTTAACCAACAGTCCCAGAAGTGAGCTGCTTTATTCTCTCTCCATTGACTTCTGATCCATTGTCCAGTTGATTTTAAGTTCTCGTTGTATATCAAAGTTCATGCTCTATAATCTAGGAAATAAATACAACAACGTTAAGTTAGGTCCTCTGGACGGTTTCTTTTTATGATGAAACATTTCGTCTTTCATCCAAAACACTTCATCAGTCCAAGAAGCCACAACAAACTCAGTCCCATAAGTAGCTTACTCACATAGTGGGCCAACCAGTTTGATGGTGGTAAGATGGTTTCTGAAGTCCGCTCTCTCCCCCGTCGACTCATCTGAGACAGCCATAGCCAGAGCGGTTCAAAACATCAAAGTTCATGCGCAATTTAAAAAAAAAAACGTCCAGAGGACCTAACTTAACTTTTTGGGCTCTCTTTGTTCACTTTTAAAGCATTAGGTCTTTCTCCAGCCTTATTTAGCTGATTTAGTAACTTTCTGTAAGTATGAGATCACCTTAAGGTCAACCAATCCAGCTTTACTGTTTGTCCCCAAGTCCAAATACAAGAGTTGGGGAGGCCGAGCCTTTACCGTCACAGCACCTAGACTGTGGAACCAACTTCCTCAGGACCTGCGCTCCATCACTGATCTGGGCCTTTTTAAATCTAAACTTAAAAGCTTTTTTATGCAGGCAGGCTTTTAATACCTAGTGGCCCTCCGGTATTGTGTTTATTGTTTTAACGTTTGTGCTGTGAAACACTTTGTGCACATTTTTGACTGTGGCAAAGGGCTCCCTAAATAAATGTTGATTGATTAATTGATCGATCGATTGATCGATCGATCGAACTGTCGATTGAACTGGCTAAATAAATAACATTTTACCCATGACTGTGTTCATTTGTCTTTCATTTTAGCGCGATATGTCATGAGATGGTCATAACCCGGCCAACTTTACAGAATTTGAGCAAAACTTTGGTGATGTAGTAGCTGAGAGTCATTTCTAAAACATACAGTTAAAACGTTTTTGTGACATTTTGCATGAGCTTGTTCATAACGCCATAATCCAAAACAGCTGTAACTCAGCCCTTTCTGAACATAGGATTGTTTTAATTTTAAACTTCAGATTTCATAACCTTTCGTAACTCTTTCGCCTAAAGACGTGAAATACTTTCTTTGTTGTCGATCATAAAAACCTATTGAGGGCAGCATGGTGGTGCAACTGGTAGAGCCGCTACCTCTCAGCGAGCAGGTCCCCAGTTCAAATCCCGGTCCGGGGGCCTTTCTGGGTGGAGTTTGCATGTTCTCATTTCAGGTCTCTCTTGTAAATGAGTCCTCGAGGCTCAATGGGATTTACCTGTATAAATAAAGGTTGATCTCTCCGTGCATGCGTGGGTTTTCTCCAGGTACTCCGGTTTCCTCCAACAGACCAAAAACATGCATGTTAGGCTGATTGGTAACTCTAAATTGTCTCTAGGTGCGAGTGAGAGAGTGAATGGTTGTTTGTCTTGTTTGTCTCTATGTGGCCCTGTGATGGACTTGTGACCCGTCCAGAATGTACCCTGCCCCTCAAACAGTGATTGCTGGACATTGGCACCAGCAACCCCGTGACCCAAAATGGAAGAAGCGGGTAAAAGATAATGAATGGATGAAAAAACCTATTGATTTGGCATCATTTATAGGCTTATATATTTCTTTATTTTCCAGCGTCTGGCCAGTGCCAAGGCTCACACATCTCGGTTCGTAAGTGCCAACCTGCCATGTAACAAGTTCAAGAACCGGCTGGTGAACATCATGCCCTACGAGACGACGCGCGTGTGTCTGCAGCCAATCAGAGGAGTGGAAGGGTCAGACTACATCAACGCCAGCTTCATTGATGGATACAGGTTCTAACAGAACATTATGTGTTATCTGCTGTTGGTGTTTCCTGTGGAGGTTTTAATACCTTTGTTGTGTTTTTGTGCTTGCAGGCAGCAGCGGGCGTATATAGCAACCCAAGGCCCACTGGCTGAGACCACAGAGGATTACTGGAGGATGCTGTGGGAGCACAACTCCACCATAGTCGTCATGTTAACCAAGCTGAGAGAAATGGGACGGGTACGCTGTGCACACTCTCACATCTGATTTTATGACTGAGCTATATAAAGAAATGATATGAGCTTATAGGTCAGGGGTACCCAATCCTGGTCCTCAAGGGCCACTGTTCTATAGTTTCCGATGTTTCTCTGCTCCAGCACACCTGAATTGACCAAAGGAGTGATTAAGGGGCTTCTGCAGAACTTGAAGACATGCTGGAGACCTGAAAACAGCTGAAACATGCAGGATAGTGGCCCTCGATGACACCACTGATAAAACTGATTTGTCCTTGTTGTCAACCACTGAAGCATTTCTGAAATAACAGAATTGTTTCATCACAGAAGGAACAGCACTGATTGAAATTAATGTGAGTTTTAACTTCAGACATTTTCTTTTACTCACCGTTTTGTGAGACGTAAACATCAAAACGACCCGCTAAGGATTAGGAAGCAGCTGTGGTTCAGTTTATTTTATGTTACGACTTTGTTTGTTCTAGATTTCCTGCGTCACAGATCCTCCAGATACTTTGTATCACGGCTGTCACATTTTATCACCCAAAACATAAATTTACAGGAAATGGAAAAAAATATCTGGCTTTTCAAATAAACATTCAGAGACAAGTTCTAAGTTAACTTTTGATGAATTTCATTGGTTATATCATTGAACTGCAGACAGATGTCAAGAGGGACCAGTAGGGTTGACTTTTATACGCTCGTCGCAGGCGGAACATATTTTGGTATAGTCTCCTTCCACTTGTAAACTTTCTCTTGTCCTTCCCATAACTTCTGATCCACTCAAAATAATTTAATGAAACTTAGTACACTTATGCATCATCAATGGACGGAGTGTCACGGACACTCTCCATCACCCCTGCTTCTGATCAAAGTGAAAAATTCAGGTAAATTTTTATACAAGGTCTTTGCTTGTCTGGGTCATTACTATAGATTGCTGTATTGTTGTGTGATAGTGTGTTGATGCAGGCGTGCTGCTAAAAAACTAGAGGTAGCGCTCTGCTTTAGAGTTGCATTAGGATTTTTTTTTAATCTGACCCGACCTGACCCCAGCCCATAGCCATCATTTCCAAATACCATCAAACTCATCATAAACTCATCATATGATCTGTTCACATCATCAACATACACGTCTTTCCAGCTTCGTTTATGTAAATCATCTTTTAATTTGTCCATTGCTTTTTTTTATGTTTGTTTTTTTTCTTAATTGTAATTTCTTTTGTAATGCTTTGATCATTTTTATAAATCGTGAAAACTGGTAAGTGAGCACTCAAATCACTCTTTAAAATACCTCCCATCACATCACCATTTGTTACATTTGTGAAAATATTATCGATTATTGTAGCACTATGAGTTGTAATACTTGTTGGTTTTGATATCAAAACAAGACAAGCAGGTAAAGGCAGCAAAAAGACAGATGAGCAGAGGTACAAAAGGGCAAGACAAAAATCAGAGCCGAGTCAAAAGGCGAAGCTCTCAATTTACCGTCGATCTATGTTCCTACCCTCATCTATGGTCATGAGCTTTGGGTTGTGACCAAAAGAATGAGATCTCGGATGCAAGCGGCTGAAATGAGTTTTCTCCGCAGGGTGTCTGGGCTCTCCCTTAGAGATAGGCTAGGATGCCTCCTGGTGAGGTGTTCTGGACACGTCCCACCGGACGGAGGCCCAGAAAAAGACCCAGGACATGCTGGAGGGACTATGTTTCTCGGCTGGCTTGGGAATGCCTTGGGATTCCCCTGGAGGAGCTGGCCAAGTGGCTGGGGAGAGGGAAGACTGGGCCTCCCTACTTAAGCTGCTACCCCCGCAACCAGACCCCTGATAAGCGGAAGAAAATGGATGCATGGACGGACAGACATTGCTTTACAACCTAGCTGTTTGTGTTTCATTTTTTAATATTTGCTTTCATTAATTTTTCCTCAATTTATATGCTTTTTATGATTGGCTGTTGTCATCATTCTTTGTTAAAATCAGGTCTCTCTTGTAGAAGAGCCCTCAAGGCTCAATTAGACTAACCTGTATAAACAAAGTTTGAATTAATTATTTCTTATCATATTTCACTCCCTTACGTGGCAGAGTTTCAGTCTTAAACCATCTTGTGATGAGACGGTTGTTGAAGCCATTTTGACCAACATGGAACTGTAAGAGGTCCTGCGAGGTGGGTTAGTGCTTGGAGTATGTGTTGAGGGTTAATCTCAGCTGTTACCACAGCATATTGAGCTCAGTATCTGTAAAAGTTTTTTATTTTTATGACTGAGGTTGATAGCTGTGGAGGCCATCTTAAATTAGGTAGACTCTAAAACTTAACTAGGTGTGGAGCTACATCCAGTGTTAGGATTGAAGTTGGATCAGAAACACAAGAATTCAGAAGTGGTTTAAAGGTTTTATTAATAAACAAAGAGCTACCACTCGGCTGGTGTTGGTGGTCAAGGAGCCGGAACTGGGAATTGTAAGGTTCAATGAGCCGGAGACAGAGCGCTGGACAGCACGGAAATGTCACCGAGGGGCGGTGTGCGTCGGTGGCCTTGAGTGGGCGATCCAGAGGCAGAGTTGTGGGCAGGAACAAGGATGGCAACAGGATCTGATAAAGGCGACAGTACCATAGAGCAAGGCAAAACTCGGAGTCCAAAAAACAAGCAGGTAACGGCAGCAAAAAGACAGATGAGCAGAGGTACAAAAGGGCAAGACAAAAATCAGAGGTCCAGGAGCAGGCAGGAGACTGAGAACAAGATCAGGATACTAGAGAGAAACGCTGGAAGACTACTCACCAAGGGCTTTTGATATTCTGGCACCAGACTTCTTCTTCTTGTGGTGTTTTTTGGCGGTTGGCAAACAACTTAATGGTGCATTACCGCCACCAACTGGTAAGGAGTGTGGATCAGGATTATAATATCTAGACTAATTATACTGGGGGGGGGGGGGGGGCTGTAAATAAATATATAAATAAATAAAAATAAATAAAATAAAAAAGACAAATCCTAGAAAATACTTTAAACGTTAATTAAATCCTTCCAAATAAACCAGTATTTCGAAGAAACTGAAATAGCAATGGATAACATTTTTCTTCCCTCAACACTTCTGATAACTTGTATCTTGTTTGAATCTCTTCAAGATTTCGGGTAAGAATATATCGTTCCTTATTATATTTATTACAGTTTAACATAACATGCTCTACTGTTTCTTCCTGGCCACAAAAGCCACAATTTCCTGTATTATTTTTCCCCATTTTAAACAGTGTGCTGTTCAACCCAGTGTGTCCAGTTCTGAGTCTGAGATATTATTATATCTTCTCTCCTGTTTTTCCTCCCACTTCTAATTTCTCCTACCTTCCTTTGTATTTTATAAAACCATCTTCCTTTTCGTTCTTCTTCCCATTGTTTCTGCCATTTTTCCTTCAGTTTTTGTTTGATGATGTTCTTAGTTTCTAATCTACTGAAATTATTTTCCATATCGATAGTAATATGTTTTGTGGCTTCTTTTGCTGCTTTATCTGCCATCTCATTTCCATTTATTCCAATATGTGCCGGTATCCACAAAAATTCTACTGAGTCCCATTTTTTGTATTCTGTATAGTGTCTGCTGAATTTCTAGAAGAATATCTGGTCTACTTTCTGAGTTATTGTTGTTTAAACTTTGCAATGATGAGCTTGAATCCGAACATATTATTGTTTTCAGTGGTCTAATGTCCTCTATCCATTGTACTGCTAAAAGTATTGCAAGCAGTTCCCCTGTATACACCGAGAGTCTATCGTTAATCCTTTTATTAGTTGAGACATAAAATTCTGGAATAACAAATGCTATTCCCATCTTATCATGTGAATCCTTGGATGCGTCTGTGTAGATTTGAACGTAGTCATAATAGCTATTAATATAACTTTGTATACTATGGTGATTTAAATTGTATTTCTTATCTTTCTTCTTTTCAAGTATTGAAAAGTCAGTTTTAACTTCAGGGAGAATCCATGGATGTATTACAGGTAATGGGACAGTTGGACTAATAACAATTTGAGCCACTCCTAGTTCTGCAGCTTTCTGTTCTACTGACCATCCAAAGCTTTTTATTTTTTTCCTCTCCTTCTCCCAGCAGGGTTTTAGGGTGTTATGTGTTGGATGAAAGTGATTGTGGCCCTGCAAACTTGCCCATTAGGTTACTGATAACTGGGATCTTCTTAACTCTAATGGCATTTCCCCCATTTCTACCTGTAAAGCTGCCACTGAAGTTGTTCTAACAGCTCCTATACAAAGTCTTAATGCTTGATTTTGAATGCGATCAAGGTTTTTAAGAACCGAATCTGCTGCTGATCCAAATACCACACATCCATAATCTAATATTGACCTTATCAATCCAGTATAAATAGTTTTTAATGCAATTCTGTCTGCACCCCATCCACTTCCTGTTGAGCATCTCATTATATTTAGAACTTTCTTACATTTATCTAGAATGTTTTGAATGTGTATCTTCCATGTTAGCTTTTCATCTAACCATATTCCCAAAAATTTAATATATTTTACTTTCTCTAATTCCTGGTTATAGAGTTTGAGTTTTAATTTGCATTCATTTCTTTTTCTTGTGAAAAACATTACTTTCGTTTTATCAGTTGAAAATTTTACTCCCCATTTATATGACCATTCTTCTACCTTTGTAATAGCCTCCTGCATTTTTTAACAATAAATTCCAAGTTCTTTCCTCTTTTCCAAATTGCTCCATCGTCCGCAAAAAGAGAAACTCCTATCTCATTTCCAATTTCATAAAACATATCATTGATCATTATCGAAAATAGTAGAGGACTCATTATACTTCCTTGAGGTGTCCCATTCTCAACAAAATATTTTTGAGAATAGCTCTTTCCTACTTTAACTTGGATAGTTCTGCCCAACAAAAAATCTTTGATCCATCTAAACATATGACCTGAAATACCCAATGTACACAGCTTAATTAACAACCCCTCCTTCCACATCATGTCATACGCCTTTTCAATGTCAAAGAAGACCGCTGCAACACTTTCTTTATTTACTTGAGCCCTCCTTATTTCATGTTCTAAACATAAAGATGGATCCATTATATTCCTTCCTTTCCTAAAACCACTTTGGTATCCAGCTAAGTAACCTTTCATCTCTATATGATATGTCAGTCTATTATTGATCATTTTCTCCATGATTTTACAGATGTTGGATGGTAATGAAATGGGTCTGTAACTACCTGGGTTAGTACAATCTTTCCCTGGTTTGCATATTGGGATTATTATGGCTTCCTTCCAACTTTGTGGTATTTCCCCTTTCTCCCATTTGGATGAATCATTAAGATGATATATCATTGTATAACGGATCTGATCCTTGCCTGGAGCGGATTCTCTGAAATTATTTATTGCTCGATTCAGTTCTGACTTTGAAAATGCAACATTTAGTAAATCTGAAGTTTCATCATGTTGGGTTAATAAGTGTTCATTTTCAATTAAAGTCATTTGTCTCCTTCGCTGCCTTTCTTTAGTAATGTTTTCTGAACTATGAATCTTGCTAAAGTTTGTTCCTAACATTTCTGCTTTTTCCTGGTCTGAAATTGCTGTTCTCTCACTTTCATGTAAAACTGGTAATCCATATTGTTTTTTAATCCCATTCATTTGCCTAATCATTCCCCAAACTTTACTAATATCAGTTTCTCTTCCAACCGAATTACAAAAGGATGTCCAGAACTCTTTCCTTGCACTTTTAATTGTCCTCCGTACTTCAGCCTGCAGTTTTTTATATTCAATTAAATTTTGGAAGTTGTGATTTCTTTTTAGTAACTTGAACGCTTTATTTCGAGATTTAATGACTTTGTCACATTCTTGTGTCCACCATGGTACAATCTTTTTCCTATTTCCACCACTCGATCTTGGAATAGTTTGTTTTGCTGCCTCTAGGATTGCTTCACAAATGCAACTATTTAAATTGTCAATATTTTGATTAATATTAATTTTACTCATTTTTTGATCACTAATATGTTTAAACATATCCCATTTAGCTTTATTAAATAACCATCTTTGTATTCCTACTCTTTCACAGTTTCTCAATGTAAAATTTATTGTTGTGACTATTGGATAATGATCACTTCCTACTGTTGTGTCTGAAATAATCTGCCATGTACATTTAGCTGCTAATGTGTCAGAAACTATTGTGAGATCTATAGCTGATTCTGAACCATTTCTAATATTCAGTCTTGTTCCATGTCCATCGTTAAGACATACTAAATTTTTATTGTCCATAATTTCTTCAATCACCCTTCCATTTTCATCATCATAATTACCCCATAGTGTATTATGTGCATTAAAATCCCCGCAACAAATAACCTTATCATCCAAGTCTGAATTAATCATGTTTAATGATTCCACATAAAGCTTTTTGCATGGGTTGTAAAAATTTACTATTTTCATTTTTCCATCTTCAGTCCATATTTCAGCCACTATATATTCCAAATCAATACCTATCTGTATTAATCTGTATTGTATTCCTTCTTTAATAAATGTTATACATCCCCCTCCATTTCCCTCTTCCCTGTCTCTCCGTAAGCTAACATAACCTTTTATAACAAAATCCAGTGTGGGTTTCAGCCATGTTTCCTGAACACAAATAATATCTGGTTTCTCTTTAAGCTCTTTAACAAATCCTTTGAATTCCTGTCCATTTGCTATAAGACTTCTTGCATTCCATTGTAAAATAATCAGTTTGTCCTATCATTTGGTTCACCTGACTTCCCATCTGCCTCCAGTTTTTTAGTAACTTTTTCCCATGAAAGATCTTTCATTCCCAAGAATTTCTCTGCTCCTCTTACAATTATTTTTATTTTTTTCTGTTTTTTGTTTGACCTGATCAGTGCAATTGATCACATAAGCGATGAACAAAATCAGATTGTCCACTATCAGTCTTGAATCACTGCCTTCTTTTTGACTCATCTCAGATGCTGGTTTATGGGGAGTTCTCAAATCTTCATTCTTTCTTTGCACCGTCTTTACTGCCTCTGCATAGCTTACATTAGTAACTGTTTTAATCTGTTGGATTTCCACCGCCCTTTTCCTGACTTCACATTCCCTAGATGTCACTCTGTGTTGACCACCACAGTTGCAACACTTTTCCTGCACATCATCTTCACATTCTTCAAATTTATGGTCACCACCACATTTGGGACACCTCTGTTTTCCTTTACAAACTGCAGCAATGTGCCCGTATCTTTGACATTTGAAGCAACGCGGTGGTGGGGGAATATAGGCCCTAACTGGGAAACTCAAATAGCCAATCTTGACCTTATCCAGTAGTTCCAATCCCTTAAACTCTAGAAGCACTGACATGCTTTCTATTCTTTGACCATTTTTATTTCTCATCAGTCATTTTATTGTATTTATTTCCCCTCCATGAATGCTTCGTTTTAGCTTTTCCAAATCTTCATCTACAGGAATCCCAGTTATCACCCCTCGTGTGATCCTATTTTCTCCAAGAATCCTTTTTTCAAACACAACTTTTTTACACACATTGTTAATTTGCATAGCTTTATTTTTTTGTTCTTCTGTTTTGCATATTATCAGTAAATTACCATCCCTCAAAGTCTTGGCCATTTCCACATCACCTATCTTTTTCTTCAGTTCTTTGGATATTGCTATCGGACTAATATAAATATGTTCATCTTCCTTTCTAAATTTTATTATCACTTTAATCTCCTCCTTCACAATCTTTCTGCGAGCACCCCTCTCTCCCTCATCTGAACTTATTTCTCCCCATTCCCTTTTACTGCTCTTGTTGTTAGGTGGTGTTTTGTTTATCTTGTGCTGCTTTCTGTTGGATGCTGAAATCCATTCATCTGAATTTTTATCTTCATCCTCATCTACATCTTGTCCTAACATCCTGATCCAGTCACAAACCAGCTATTGCCAACCACCGACAAAAATAGAAAAGTTTTAAACAGACCGCCAGAACGCTTTCGTTGCTTCCGCCTCCTCCCCTCTCCTCCCTGGCACCAGACTGTGAGGGAGAAGCTTTTAAGCACCGGCGCACAGGTGTTTCCCATGAACACTAACGAGCTGCAGCGAGAGGAGGTGTGACAGACAGAAAGCTGCAGATAGGAAGCAGAGCTGACAGAAACCAAATGAACATAGAGAAAACTAGAACCCAAGCTGTGAAAAGAGTTTTAGCAAAGAGCAAAGTGTGCATCGTGACATCCAGTCGTTATTTTCTGTGGGTTTTATTCAAATCCCAGTAGTTCATGAGATATTTTTAGATATTTGAAATATTTTATATATACATGAGATATTTTTTAGATATTTTAGCTGCAGGCAAACATTGTTTGTAGTTTACTTCTGCTTTTAGACTATATGAGAGATCAGTGCTGCTTTTATGCAAAGTGAATTTCAGGAATACAATGTAAAACTCCTTGTTTTTAAACAACGTTCATATCAGCGTGGGCGTTTTATGAATTGTAAGTTTTAAGCAACAACTTGCTGATATGTTAAACAAACAAATGTGTTTTATGACTACCGGTAATTATTATTATTTATTTGTGGAAAAGCACTTAAGGTGAAACATGAAAAGTCAATATGATTAATTTTAGGCATTATAAGTCATAAGTGTGACACAAATAATAATGACTGATTCATACGTCTGATTTTTATGAACAATGAGATTTTTTTTTTTTTTAATAAATTACAGACAAATGTTCATAATAAAGAAGATGAAAACGCTCATCTTTAATTAAATCTGTTAAACGTAAGGTAGAGATCTGAAACAAGCCTTCTTTCTCGTGTCTTCCACAGGAGAAGTGCCACCAGTACTGGCCCGCGGAGCGCTCGGCCAGGTACCAGTACTTTGTGGTGGATCCTATGGCAGAATACAACATGCCTCAGTACATCCTGCGAGAGTTCAAAGTGACCGATGCCAGAGTGAGTCACCAGTTCACTCCTGTGTTGAATGTCAAAGACAGACACTCTCATCTTTACTGGTTTGAAGAAGAAATAAAACAATAAATGCATTTTTCACTTTTCAGGATGGCCAGTCCCGGACGGTTCGTCAGTTCCAGTTCACTGACTGGCCGGAGCAAGGAGTGCCAAAATCAGGGGAAGGATTCATCGACTTTATTGGTCAAGTGCACAAAACTAAAGAGCAGTTTGGCCAGGACGGGCCCATTTCAGTGCACTGCAGGTAGGTTTGTTTAAAACTCCCTCAGTATATTATAAATTATTTATTGTGGGAAACAAACTACAAAGAAGAATGACTGATTGGATGAAGGTGTCGTCTGCCTCTAAAATATAACCACCTCGTTCAGTAACGACTAACAGTGAGACAGACCACCTTTCCCAAAAAGAAACTCCATATGAGGATTTTTGGAGGGATATTTGTTGCTTCCCTTCTGGATAAATGAGTCAAGGACATTGTTTGAAAGTAGCACTTCTAAAGGTGTAGGGCTGGATTACAGATTACTTTAATTTGCTCATTCTTGAATGTATAAGTTTCCTGGAATAACATATACGCTTATCAAGAAGATTTCTTTTTCAGATTGAAGCTTCCTGACTTCAGTGAGACTTTGTGAAAACCTTTTTTTTAATACAGCAGCTGAGAGAAAGTCAGAGTGTAAAAGTGTCGCTTTTCTTTTCAAACTGAGGCTTCTTTTCTAAAACAGCCATTCTGAAGGAGAGCGTGCACAAAAGCTGGAAGTGGCATGCAGCAGGAGATGAGCACGCTTATAAAAGCGAGGCGCATCTTTGAGAAGATTTCTCTTCATAAATTACGTTTCACCTGGAAATCTGAATTAAAGCCCCACATTCAGAGGCTACAGCAGACGTGTTTTCAGTAAATCATGGCAGCTGGCAGCTGTTGAACGCAAAGCAGAAACCATTAGCACAACTTCCTCCATGAAACGGGTTTTCAAAGAAACACGACTGAACCTCTCGCTTTTAACTTTTTGTATTATTAATATTAAAGCAGATCTTGTGATGTAGTGGAAAGGTTATGAACAGTTAATATCTTACCTGTTGTACAGCGCTATTATCGTATTTTCGCCGTACACGTCGCACCACCCTATAAGTTGCATCAGTCCAAATATATATAATAAAGTGGAAAAATCCATAAATATGTCGCTTCGCCATATACGTCGCATCCATTATGCATCACCACTGACGCTTCGTGTTTGTTACAAGTCACCACTGACAACCTGGAAATGTGGCCAAACTCGGAAATGCAGGCCGGTGTTGTGCCAAAAAATGCTGGGCTGCCAAATGGCGGCTGCGGGAGTGTGCGCAGGAGGACTTTAACAAGAATTTAACAAGATTAACACTTAAAAACAATTATTTATTTGCTCAAAATTCTAGTAAAAGTGTGTCTCAGTTGAACTTTTGCTTAATAAATGCACTTTGACGATCTGATCAGCTGCATTTCAACACCTGATTTGCTAAAGCAGGCGTGCACAGAGGGACAAGCCTCTGCACATTTCTCAAAATTTAACAAGATAAGCACTTAAAAACAATTATTTGTTAGCTCGACTTTATAGTAAAGGTGTGTCTCAGTCTAACTTTTCCTTAATAAATGCACTTTGACGGTCAAATCAGCTGCATTTCAAAAGCTGGTAGGCAGAAACATGAATGCGCAGAGGGCAGCTCGCTGTCCATTTCTTCAAAATTTATCAAGATAACCACCTAAAAACATTTATTTGTTTGCTCGGCTTTATAGTAAAGGTGTGTCTCAGTTTAACTTTTGCCTAATAAATGCACTTTGATTGTCAAATCAGCTGCATTTTGCCGGGACAGTGCAGCGAAATGAAGCTGATTCAGTTGCTCTAGGCAGATGATGGTGGCAGTCTATGGCAAGCCGATTGTGTCATTAATAGCCAATTTTACCCATTACATTATTCAGTGGCATGCCATACAACTCCAGTACCATGATTCAGTGACATGCCATACTACTCGAGTGCCATCTAGCAGCTGAAAATGGTAGTGTTCAATATTTTCAGTCAGAATGAATGAAAACGGTCACGTCTCAGCCAAAAATTGGTTTATAAATATGGAAAAAAATCCATAAATAAGTTGCTTCAGCGTATAAGTCTCAGGGCATGCAAAGTATGCACACAAAAGAACGCAGCTTATAGGGCGAAAAATACAGTATGTAGCTTCTTTGTCTAAAGAAACTGAGTTTAACTCTGAAGCTAGTCTGATCAGGTCCAAGATCAAAGTGGATCACTGAAGTCCCGAAACAAATCCAGTCTCTAAAATTTCACTACTGGAAACTTTAAGGGAAGTTTTAAGGATTGGACTTGTTTTTAGACAGCAGCAGTCAAATCTGGTTTTAGCATTGCTCAGACTAGACATTAGCTCATCAGTCCTGTCAGAAATCTAACCTTTTTTTTTAAACTGAGATCGTTTAAATATCTATTTATCAACAGGTCCGATAAAACCTTTTTACAGAACTCAAAACTTGAAAAGATTGGAACTACTGTGTCTTTGACTATTTTATTTAGTTGAAACAATCTTCTATTTTTTTACAGAGTACTAAACACTGTTTGTGTGTGTGTGTGTGTGTGTGTGGGGGGGGGGGGGGGTCTTTTTTCAAAAAGCTGAACATGGCCGCAAAAAAGTGTGACTTTTTCAAATGTAGCTGTCATCGGTGCCCACAAGTGTCGCGGTCAATGTGAGGATTAGACCCAGAAGGCAGACTTTAACAAGAAATTTTAAAATTGGTTTATTGACAGAAGAACAAAGTAAAGTGCCGCCATGGCAGACAACTACTTGCATTAAACAAGGAAATGGGGATAAACTTAAAGGCACGAGGAGAACCAAGATGGCATCTAACAATGCACGAGTAAACTACACATGTACTACAATAAACACTTTAATGCTTCTGTCTGCACTTTCATGTTTTAGAATTGTTAGTATTTTTAAATTCTCTGTTACTTTTTTATATCTTGTGTGATTCCTTGTGTATGTTCCCTTGTACTGAAACTCTGTGACAACAATTTCCTGTGGGATCAATAAAGTTCTATCTTATCTTATTATTTATTAATCTTGATTTAACCAGGCAAATCCCAATGACATCACAGATCTTTTTTTGCAAGGGAGGCCTGGGCCTGAAGGCAGCCTAACTTATCTTAAACACTGAGAATATAAAGACAACACTCAATTCAGTTCAATTCTGTTTATATAGCACCAAGTCACAACAGAAGTCGTCTCAAGGCACTGAACAGAAATAATCATACATGAAAATAAGTTAACATCATTTATCTGAGGAGCAGACTGCTTTGAATCTTAACTTTGTCACATACTCTCATCTTGAGCAAGCATGAAGGAGACACTGGAAAGGAAAAACTCCCTCATGAGGAAGAAACCTTTAGCAGAACCAGGTTCAGGACAAGCGTCCATCTGCTTCAACTGACTGGGTCTGAGGGTCAGGAAGGAGGAACAGATACACAATGGCACGTCAAGAATCTCGTGTTTAGAAATAGTATCAAATGAAAACTATTCAGTTTTAACAATTCATTTAAGGAAATGAGGTCGATTTGTCCTCCAGTGGTCTAAGCCTATAGCAGCATAACAAGCCAACCCTAACTATAGGATTTATCAAAAAGAAAAGTCTTAAGTCCAGTCTTAAAACTGAACGATGTGTCAGCCTCATGGACAGAAACTGGAAGTTGGTTCCACAAGAGAGGAGCCTGATGACTGAAAGATCTGCCTCCCATTCTGCTTTTGGAAACTCTAGGAACCACAAGTAAGCCTGCAGTCTGAGTTCGATGTGCTGTGTTAATTAAGAAAATATGGAACAATAAGATCTGTAATATAAGATGGAGCTAGGTTCACACAGCTAGAACAAGTGAATGTGGGCGGGGAAGGTGCAGAACAGACTGGGAAGAAAAGAACAGAAGAAACAAAACTAAGCACACAAAATGTAATCCTAACATAGAAAAGATACATTCGACAATTAGCTGCTATAATTCTCACACAAATCTTTTCTCTCTTGTTTTTTAACCAATGCCAGTGCTGGAGTAGGGAGAACAGGTGTGTTCATCACCCTCAGTATCGTCCTGGAGAGGATGAGGTACGAGGGAGTGGTGGATATCTTCCAGACGGTGAAGATGCTGCGCACTCAGAGACCTGCCACCGTTCAGACAGAGGCAAGTCTCCTCACTGTAAAACAAAAACACTTTCTTACTGCGCGCGCACTGATTCAGCACTTTTCACTATCTAGTCATGAATACCTTTTGTTAGTTTAGCCATCCATGCATCAAAACAGTCAGCTCATTCAGGAGATGAGTGCCGCGGCTTTTGTAACTTTTGTACTTCTTGAAATATTTTATTTTATTTCCTAATATTTTCCCCATAGAAATACACTGAGTACAGCATACTTGCTGTATTTTTATCTTTTTAGGCTACTTTTTGTTTTATTATCATGCTACTACCAATAATAACCTTTTGCTACTTTAGCTTTTAGCTAACTTTTTAGTGCTTTTAGCTTCTATCTAGCGGTTTGCAACTATTAGCTAGCGTTTTGCTACTTGCAGCTTTAACATTCAGCACTCTGCATTTATGCTGCCTTTTCTCAGACCATACTTGTTCCACAGTTAATTGTAGCATCGTTATGAGTCTTCTGGTTTTTGTCACTGACTCAGCATGCCTTTGCTTCCCTTCAGGACCAGTACCAGTTCTGCTACCGGGCCAGCCTGGAGTATTTGGGAAGCTTCGATCACTATGCAACATAAAGCCAGTTGCTGTCCGTCACGCCACGTTCGGCCAAGCGCTCCCTTTTTTTTGTAGTGTCACACACAACCTGAATAAATGCGCCCTGGCTGGAACGTGTTTGTAAAGATGTTGCCACCACATGCAGAGCGAAGTGGGGGGGTGGGCCCCCGCCGGCTCGTCCTGTACCCAGAAACAGCACTTCTAACTGAGCCATAGCAACCTGCTTTGACAAGGGGGTGTCTCCTTCCACCCCTCCAGCCCAAACACAAACACACCCCTGGGTCAGTCTGAAGCAGCAACTTCAACCACTGCTCCCAAACAGAATACTTGATCAAATATGGATTGTTTTCGTTTGTTTTTGAGTTTGTTTCAGTATTTCTGTGAGCACCGAGAATGCTTTGTGTTGTTTCGGTGTGGAACTCACCTCGTCCACCACCAGTGTAGCATCACCAAACTAAACAAAGGACCAAGCTACGGGAGTTTTTTATCAGTCACCGGAAATTTTTGATTTTTTTTTTTTTTTCCATCACGATGACTGACGTGTGGGATATACACAAATCTATCTGATGAAGACCTCACAGACTGAAGGAGAAACAGAAAATTGCCTGTTGGAGACTGAAAACACAGCACACAGTATTAAAAAAAAAACATATATATACTTTAAAACAAAACACCAAGGTTTTTGTTTTTAAGTCCTTTCAGAAACAGACTTTTGTTTCCTGTGAATAAGAGAAGATTTCTACCACGCAGTACAAGAACCGTTTAAAAGAAGAGAAATGTATGAGGTTTAACCACAAAGTAAAAACATGGATTTAGTTTTTTAGGAAAATATATGACTATATTGTTTTCTAAAAGTGGGAAATATTATATTCCCCCTCGACACATTTTCTTGTTGTTTTGTTTTTTAAGATTTTGTTCCCACTGACCATAATAACAATAGTTGTATCTTTTTTTTTCTGTGTAAAATCTAAGGAGCTGGAGATTTTTAGTTTTTTAAAAGTACAATCAATCAGTGTGGAAAACGTTCACAGTTCTGCAACAAATGCCACCTTTGAGTGTTGACCATGTATTCTCCCCCCTCTTCTTTCAATAGAGACCGTTCCCACTTGGGGCGGGGGTGTGATGGTTTGATAGTCCCACTTCTTCTATGGATTCTCCATAGAAAGCCAGTTAAAGTGCAGAGAGTGTGCACAGGAAGAGAAGAAACTAAAAACACAACTATTTATGTGTCAAAATAAGCTTCGCGGAGATTTCTCGAGCAGTGTAAAAATAAGGGGCGGGGTTTCGAGTCAGAGGGGACAGATTTCTCACTGGAATGCTCACGGAAGACTTTTCTCTTTGTCCAAATCAGTGTGCAATAAGTAGACGTGTTCTATATTTTTGTGTCCAGTCACTAACTGCAGTTACATGCCATGATGATGATGATGATGATGATGATGTGAAGACTGTGTTTTTGGTTCACCGTCACCGTTCATGTCCAGACAGGAGGAGTGACCTCTGACCTCTTTCACCATGTTACAACTCCAGTGGCGAGCAAAGCAGCGGCTGAAGTCATATTTCAAACAGCATCTATTAAGTCTTTTGATTTTAGATTTCTAGTGCCTTATATTACACGCCTATTTTGATAAAGTTACATTAAAGGGTTTTTTTCTGTGTATTTTCTGTCAGCTTGTGGGATCTGAATGTCTGGTTTTGTTCGGTTATGAAATGTGAAAGTATTTTGTGGTGGGTTTCTTTCTTTTTTTTTTTTTTTTTTTGGGGGGGGGGGGGGGCTGTGAATTTTCCAACCCCAACTGTATCATCGTATCTCTTTTAATCAGGTGTATTCTGTTACAAAGGAGAAGAAAGAAGTCCAAGATGGTCTGATTTTGGTTCTCGGACAGAGAAGTTTGAGCCTTTTCCATCATTTCTTGCACCTAAGCGAGCGTTGTGTATTTCCTCTTCGTGTGGAGACTTCAGTTTGCCCGCCGTGACATGTTCAGCCGGCTCAGACAATTTGCTCAGCTATGCAGAAATCCTTATCGAGCTGAACGACAGCGGTTCGCTTGGTTAGTTTGAGCAAAAATGGTGGGGGATCGGATTATGCATCCGGCCAGAAGTCTCATCTGCATCCCGTGGTTTCTCGTCTGTTTGGCAAAGAGAAGTTCAGGTGCTACCAGCACAGAACAGGTGTACTCGTGTTTTTCTATATATATAAATGTATATCTTCGTTAACGCTTGAGATGGCCAACAGTTTTCCACAATCTCACAGTAACCTTGTCATTTTTTTTTGTATGCATGGTATCACTTTTGAGATTCCCCCTTTGGTCACAGCGGTCATGGGAAGACTTGCACTTTCTCTCTTTGTACTATGCACTAATACTAGTATGTGTAAGAGCCCATCCCCCACAACAAAGGAGACTTACTTGAACTCATTAGAAATGGATCTTGTAACGCTCACATGGTTGTGTATATGTAAATATCACAGAACACAGAGAGTTAATGGAAAGGCATACATAAATGGATAAATGAGTATGATTTAAATGTAAAGACAAAGAGAGGTTTATCAGATATACAGAGTGATATAAGAGAAGATGCACCTCGAGTCACAGTTTTACGGCACAGCAGTGTGTGCAATAATACACCACGTTGTGGATTTCGTTGTACCACGAACAAGACGTTCACAAAAACGTGTCCTCTTTTACCCCCCTCCCCCTAATGTATCATGTAGATGGATAAAACTGGAGTTTATAAATTGTATAAAAATGAAAATATGGTGTTAACTTGGATCATTTACCTCCAATTGGTCTGTACATGTAAACTGTTTTCATTTTGTTTTCGGATCTGAGTCAACGAGTGCTTTTTATTTTCTTACGATACAAAACTGAAGATAAAAAAAAGGAAGCAGGTCTGTACGGATTTCTGTTCTTTATCGACACAGGTTTCATTTGTTACAAATAAACTCAAGTGAAATATTTGGTGCAGGTGTCTTTTCTGATTAGTAACTTACATCAACCAGCTCCTCCATCTCCATCATCCACCTTTTATCAGCAGTCGGGTCGTGGAGACAAGTCCAGGAGAGACACCCAGACATCCTTCTCCCCAGCAACACTCACCAGCTCCTCCTGGGGGACCTTAAAGCGTTCCAAGGACTGAGAAGATACACAATCCCTACAGATTGTTCTGGGTGGTTCCTGGGGCCTCTTACATTCTAGAGGAAAACCTCTAAAATGAGGCATCCTAATCAGATGCCCAAACCACCTCAACCAACTCCTTTTTGATGCAGAGGAGCAGCAGCTCTACGTCCAAACTCCCACTGGATTACGGAGCTCCTCACTTTATCTCTAAAGCTGAGCCCGACCACCACACAAAGGAAGCTTATTTCGGCTGCTTGTATCCAGGAACACGTTCTTTCAGCCATGATCCTCATGACCACAGGTGAGGGTTGGAACGTAGACAGACCAGTACATCAAGAGCTTGGCCTTTTGATTCAGCTTTTCTTCACTACGGCTGAAGCAATGCCCTCATTACTGATTCATTAAAGGGGTCAAGATGGTGTAAAGGTAGGGCAGCAGGCTTGGGACCAGAAAGCCACAGTTTCAACCCCCAGGCGTGCCCACATGTTGTGGTGTCCTTGAGCAAGACACCTAATCCCTATTAGCTCCCCAGGTGCCTACATAGCTGCCCACTGCTCCACCTGGGTGTATCTCAGGTGTGATGGATTAAATGCAGAGAACTAATTTCGTCATTGTATCCAGTCCCCCGGCACAAACAGAGTAATGTTGTGTATGCTGTTCAGTGTCAGGAGGGCTGTGATCAGTCTTACATCGGGGAAACAAAACAGCCACTGGCCAAAAGGATGGCCCAGCACAGAAGATCAACATCATCAGGCCAGGACTCTGCGGTCTACACTCATCTCCAGGCCAGCGGTCACTCTTTCAGGGATGAAGATGTTCACATCATGGACAGAGAGGAACGATGGTTTGAGAGAGGAGTAAAGGAGGCCATCTTTGTGAAAAGAAATCATCCATCATTAAACAGGGGTGGAGGCCTCCGTGTTCAACTGTCCCCCTCTTACAATGCTGTTATTGCTAGTATCACTCAGCCCTCTGTGAACAGTAAACAGCCATCGGTGTGCTAATGATCCATTGTTAGGCTGATGGTCCTTCTTGAGCATGTGATCAGCTGGTTTTGGTTGTCAGCAGCAAAATGGTTGATCCACTCTGAGACGGTGCTATTTAAGAGACTGAGCTGAATACAGCACCTCAGACTGAGGAAGTCTCGCGGATGAGAGACGAAACGTTTCTACATTTTTTTTTTTGTTGTTTTGCTTTGTTTTGTTTGTTGAATGTCCAGAGGACCAGATTTAACTTTTTGGGATTTTCTACCTGGATTATTGAGCATGCATCAGGATATTCGTCATTGTATGTTCCCATACAATGATAACACATAGCACTTTGAGGATGAGGCCCCAATCTGTCGATCCATTTCCCAATCTATCGGACCATCACTCGTGAACAAGACGCCCAGATACTTAAACTCCTCCACCTGAGGCAAAGACCCCCATCCTCAACCCAGAGAAGGTTTTCCATTCATTTACAGTCGAGCAACCACTAACAGATGATAAAATTAAGAATATGAATGCTAATTTGAAGAAAGGCAGATCTATAGAACAGGTCTAACTAGACCCTATAGTTAAAATTAACAAATTAAAATATGTGTGTGGGGGAGGGGGTACTGTCTACAAAGTCTCCTCATATCTGGTTACTTCAAATGTAGCATTTTTACCAGATATGCATAAATAGTAAACGTGGACAACGTTTTGGCCAATGATGGCACTACCGGTAGGTGAGGTTTGTGGCCACCATCTTGCTAGGTGCTGCACCTATTTCTTTACTGTTTACGTATAAAAGCCACACATTGTTAACTTCTGTGTAATCAGTCTAAAAATTATCAGAAAAGGCCTTAAAATTACCACAATATCGTGAAAACAGTGGAAAAGAATTAAGCTGATGTTTTTTTTTCCTTGAAGTGTTTAGCCTTACATTACCCTATATATTAGGGGTGTAACTGTACGCTAAAATCACATTTCAGTTCGGTTCAGTTTCAAGGAGGTCTCGGTTTGGTAAATTTTTGGTATTAAAAACGCCAAAATAAAGATTTACAAAATGTTTATTTTGAAAATATGCCAAGTAAACAATACATTTGTATGAAAATAAATTAAAGCAACCCATTTGGATGATATTTTAAATAAACGGCACTCTACAATAAATAAACTATACTAACAATAATCAAAATCTTAATAAATACAATAACAGTCAGAACCAGAACAATAAGCAGCAACAGACTGTTTACAATGTAACTAATCAAGTTTTCAGTTTTTGGTCAAAAAGACCAACTTGTCCATATTTTCTGTGTAGTATGCTAAGGCTAGGTTAGCTTGGTGAGCTTCAGAGCTCCACTACAGTCAATTTTTAATAACGGGTTCTCACTTTTTCGAGCTACTTGACAGATATGTGACAGAGGTACTGTGTGGGAGATGGTTTAATCAGTAACATGAGACGTTATTTTCTTTGACCCATCAAAATAAATGTGGTCATTTATTAACAGAATCAAAATTTAACATCAAAACATTGTACACTTGATTATACTGGTCTGGTTCTGATTAATAAAACATGGCACGTTTTACTTAATAAAAACAACAGACATTTCTGAAGATATCTGGATTAATTACTGGCAAGATAGAAGTTTGAAGATGGGAAATGAAGGAGTTTAAATGGAGAGAAAATGATGGATGAGGAAAGTGTGTTGACGAGAAATGGCACCCTTCATCCGACCCCAGCTCAGCCCCGGTACATTAGGTAGTGAAGCGACTCGTTACCTTTGCAGAAGATAGGTCAGCTCCGGTACAGAGTTCCATTTCAACGCTACCTTTCAGCGTCTCCTTAGGATGGCTGAGAATTGTCCGAAGTAGTGACAGTACTCCGTTCAACAACACGCTCATCTCCCGGGTGAACTCACAGCTGTGAGTCCGTCAGAGCTTCCACTCAGATGTGAAAGGCTCCATAATCCCAACTAGACTCAGAAGACTGAAGACTGAGAAAAACTCAGAAGAACTCCTAGGAACTCCAGCCGAACTCCATCAGAACCAGAAGAACTCCGGAACCAACCAACTAACTCACTCACTGAACTGATGGAACTAGGAAGTGTCAACTTTTAAAGAGTTCTGCTTCTGGTCACTTTTAGGAAGTCCTGATTGGTTGAAGGAACCAACAGGGGTGTGGTTTTAGTGACGTCAGAGGGTCATTACAAGTCAAGAAAACATCAGGAATGTTTAGGAACGGTTAGTTACAGACGAGAAAATATTTTGGAGAACTGACAGACTTACAGGTGCCAGTTTTCTTGTTTCTGTCTGAGAGGTTTAAAAACACGACAGTTCGTTCCAATAAACTTGTTTTTGACTGTCTCTGACTTTTGACCGACATCACTCCTTCTCATTTCAGACAGAAGATCAAAAATGCATAATTACTTTGTAAAATAGACATTTAACTTGATTTCTACTTTGAATGAGGATTAAAAATCATTAATACTGTTTC